GTAGGGGACTTGTTTACGGCTCAATTGATGTGTCGGTGCGCGCCCGCATTTGTTTTTTTTTTTTCAGGGCCATTGTTAGGATTTGCGTTCGGTAGGGCGTGGAAAGCGGTGAATTGCACTTTTTCATAGGTCTTGAGTTCTCATTTTTCCTCTTATGTTAAATAGATTGACTGTTTTATTTACAAAGATCTCCAAGGCCATATCAATCATGACGACATGATCTTTTCTCACAAAATACCCAGTACTTACCGGGTTGGTTTCTTTCTAGTGGTACCATGAACATACACGAACTACTTGTTTTTCATTTAGCAGATTTCATTTTCAGCCTAATTAATGCAACAAATTGATCCTATTCTATTGAACATGGCTGCTGCGTTTTCATTCAAAATGATTGTTCATTCCTCATCTGTATGCACACATTGAACTGTGTTGTTTCGGGTTGTCGTTGATATTTCGCGTTGCCAAACCTCATAATCTCTAAACAGATTTGGAAAATCTACGCCTACTTATTGGCTTTTGTTTTAATTTGGCAACTCAATCGAAGAAATCACCAGGCAATGGCCTTTTACTATTTGAGGACCTATGGCTAGCCGATCTGTTGATTTGCCATAAAAACTTACCACGGATTATCTTCTTCCCTTAAACCAATGCTCATGTTAAAAATCAAATTGAAGAAAGGCACTTAATTACACATATAATAATTCTTTTGAATGCGTGGTACGACAACAGTTGCACTCCTGCTTTGAGTAGGCTAAATTTTGGTGTTCAGGTAATGTACTAGTCTCTCAAACCTCTCCACAAATTCATTGTAACAGTTTGACCTGTTCAACATTTGTCCTTCATCACTGTACTCTAACTGAATCGTTAAATTAGCTATGTATTTACTGATAGGATGCCTGGTTTATATTTATTTTTGCAAAAAAATTGAAGGTCACGTCCTAATCAACGGTGTACTTTTAGTTGTGGAACGCGTGCACACAAGTTGGGAGGGAGACGAGTTTGGGAAATTGTCTGCTAATTTGCGTAGTAGTCTTTTCTTTGAGTCTAGTACCAAACCAGCATTGGACTTCTCTGCATGCTCCCACCCAACTGAGCCCCGCACAGCAGCTCGCTTTCTCCCGCCTTACATGGGTTATCTGTGAGGGTGCGTGTGCGCGTGTGCCTTTGTATCGTTGATTGCACCTTGTTGTGCGATTCTGTGGGAGGAAATGAGTGGGAGTTGTGTGTTCATTCGTCAAATGTGGTCACTGAGTTTCAGTTTTGAGGTCCTTAATCTCATGAGAGTTAATTCTGTAAGGTTTTTATTGCCACTGTTGTCCCTCTCAATCTTAGGCCAAATTTCGTGGTCTCTAAGTTTATGCTTGTGCTGCCCACATCGGGATCCATTCACGCAGAGGAAGGACTTTCAAACGCACTAACTACTTGCTTGATCTACCGTGACCGTCAGCTGATTGTTCAGTTTCTTTCTGGAACATTGTTGATACCTCATTTCGCAACTTTCGCTAATCTTTTACTCATTAGGGTTTTAAATCTTATAATGGAAGTGAGGTAAATGCAGGCTGTTATCCTTTGTTGTGCAGTGACGCACTCTCCACAGCACTCATCTGGCTGTTGAGAGTGCGCAAATTCTTACCAATGTATGCCTGATCACTAAAGTTCCATTTTTTGATATCATGCGACCATTAATTTCAAACAATATAAAATAGCTCTTATTTCTGGCTGGAAAAGGCCAACAAAGTTGTCAGTGTTCCATTTTAAAATGGGCGCTACACCTCTTATTGTCAATGACGTCTTACCATGTTTGCTGCTTTGTCCCATTCTCTTTCCCTATCGAACAAAACTGGCCATGCGTGCAGGCGTAGCGTTTTGCAGCAGCAGCAGCAGCAGCAACAGCAACAGCTGTTGCTGTTGCATTGCGTCGTTTGTATGCTCTGTTCGATTGCATGAAGTGGGCAGAGGCCACTATCTGATAATTATGCTATTACTTTTCGATTGCACTCGATCACTCCGTGCCCTTTTGTCCTATGCACTTTTGTACGTTGGTTTTTTTGCTAAAACAAATTTACCATTGCGCCAATTCTTTCTGTTTGTGAGAAAATTTTATTTAAAATTGTGTTCTCCGTGATGCGTCAGTGCCTTTGGTTGGCCTTGGACAGTCCAGAAGTACCGTTTTGGATGCCAGAGAAATTGAGGTTTGCAGGTATTACAAGACTACTTAATATTTTTTCCTCAGAGACGGCCGAAGGAACAAGGGGACTGTTCTTCGATTGTCAGTCAACTACATTCTCGAACTGCGACAAGCTGTTGCGCACACAGCCAGTCTTCGCCAAGAGACTGCTATTGCTCGACAACTCATTCCCCTCTTGCTCAATCACATTCAGGTAGCTTTGCAAATGTTTCCCTATTTCTTTACTACCCTTTCTCGTAAAACTTTATGTTTTTCTTCCTTCCAGTTTGATAATACTGAAAAATACACTGCACCGACTTCAATGGTCCAATGCTTGCTTGTTGCCAAAATTTAAGTCGTTGATTTTCATATCTGACTCAAGGTCAATTTAAGATGTCAATTGTTTACGTCTAACCCCAATGTCACTTTACATTTTGTTTGTATGGAAATTATGCTGACAATTCCAAAATCATCGGCTGCATTCTATCTACCGCAATCAATTTTGCAGGAAAGATTTTCTAAATGCACGTTCAATCTCTTCTTTTCTCAAGTCACTGGAAAGTGTCGTAAAGGAAGTGGAGATGTCCACGGGAAAATCGTTGGGCGGAGGTGGACAGGTTGCCTCAAGCCTGCTTGAGGATGGCGGGCGAGTGTCCGAAAGCCCTGCTTACGAGGCCCTTCTTGAGGCCTGGCGCACGGCCATGACCACCAACCTGGCCCGAGCTGCTGCTGTTGCCGCAATGAACAACAACAGCGGAGAGAACCCACAAGAAAACAAAATGGAATCCTCTGAGATGCCCTTAATGTCGAACATGCAGGTCACCTTCGTAGGAAGGCCTCCCACTACTACTGCTGGTGCTGTCGCCAGTCCCTACTTGCCCAACGCAATATTCATGGGCGGTACGTGTTCACTATCCATCCCTACCTATCGTTTTTTCCTCTTATCTCAATGCTGTTTCATTTTGTGCAGCAACAGCACTTAAATAATTGGGGAATTTGTAAGATAACAGAGTGGAGACTAGAGTTAGTCCTTTTCGAAAACTTGGATCGAAGTTCTCAGCTGCTATTAAGCAGAGTTGCGCTTAAATCCCCCACTGACTTTGTTGCGCCTTATGCGTATTGAACTGTGATTTGCAATCTAGTAGTGCTATGAGTTATAGGCATAATAAGGTTTTTCGCTTCTTTCTATCTTCAGGTCCCGTTTGCAAACTGGAAGAAGGGGAAGAGGTCTGCTATGGTAGCGGTGGAGGTGGTGAAATGGCCAGCGGTGGCGGCGGAGGTGGCACCAACGGTGGCCATATGGTGGTGGGAGGTGTTTCACACACCAACGAAGGCACCACTGACGGTTTCTTTGATTCGACAAACACAAACAGCAACAACAACAGCGGTGGTGGTGCCTCCAAATTCGACCTCTCCATTATGCAAATGACCTCTGCTGGGGGCGCCGACTGCGGGGACCCGATGCAAGTGAGTCACTAAATCCCTATGTGGATGTATTATTTTTCCAACTGGTGCAGTCGGCAAGATCTGGGAGTTCTTTTTTATCTAATCACGCTTGACAATATTCGTGTTCGTCACTTTTATTTTTTCTTTCTTTTAAAGGTCGAGTGCCAAAATCACTGAGACGGGAAGACTCCAGTCGTCGGCAACGTTTGCATAATCTCCTCTCCCACTAGTCCTCCAATCTTTCACAATTGCAAACATTTAACCATGAGTGCCTTACAACCTTTAGGGTCATATATTGTGTCCGGCCTCACCCTTCCATTAACATGCACAGAATAGAGTTCCCTACAAACTATTTTCATCCCAAAGAGCGCACGTCCCCGACTCGTATGCATATATACGCGTATATACATTTAGCTTCATGCACCCGAGAACTGCTCTCTCATTTTGAGACTGGCGGTGTGTTTATTATCTCCCTGCGCATACATACATTCGTATCGGTCCGATCTCCATTGACACTCCTTATTTTGATTGCCTCATTCCTTCTTCTCTAGTCCCCTCTCTCTTCTGCCGCTACCAACCTACAGGCACGTAGACTTACCAAATTCATTATTTTTGTTTTCGACAGATAATTTGCGCCACTGAGTGGGCCAAAAAGCTCAGGTCACACAGACTCTCAAGTTCTCCCCTTTTCCTCCCTCCTCCCTCCCTTCCATCATATCTCTTGCATTTGACCATCTTGCCATTTTACTTCCAGCTATGTCATCTATCTACTTCGCTCTTTCATCTCTCGTACCATACCTTCAGCCCTCCTTTCTCTCCCTGAAATTCCTTATTTTGGTTATGGTATGTATGGGTACTTCTACTTTCAACGCAATATAGTACAGAGGGGTGCATGTGTGTGCGTGTGACCCCCATTCAGTTCTCCATCTGATTACATCCGCACACACAAGCATGGACACTATACCCACCTTTAATACTACGTACGACTGTGAACCTGCCAAAACACCACAACACCGCAACCCCCTCCAACACCAAGAGTGGAAATTAACAGTGCATATACCTATCTACTATATACATAATCTTCTATATTTCTTTTTTCTTTTCGCGGTGTAAATACAGTACACAGGAAAGGCGTTATTATTTTCTCAAATACACTTAACTTATTTATTGTAGCATATCGTCTTCGTCCTTAAGCGGGAGAGTCGCCGCACTCCTATTAATATAGCTAAGTTTCGTAACGCTTCACAACAGATACTATGGACTGGTTAAAAGTTTCGGCTTGACAGTGAATGATGAGGTTTTCTTCCTCACAAACCAATTTCTACACAAAAATGCACAAGCGTCGATCGGACTTCGTGGCTAAAGTGGACGGGGGCTGGCTGCAAGGACTTCGAGATGAACGCTCATAGCGATGTTCACAATGATTTCCACACTGCTTCGGCTCAACACATGCCTGGGCGTGTGCAATAGCAGTCGCCCCTATTGTATGATGAACTACATCAATTTGGAAAGTTCACGCTCCGCCAAAAGCAGATCAAAGCAAAGGTACACGCTCGTGTAGTTATTATTCAAGTGAGTCAAAAAGAGCAGGGAAATAAGAGAGTAAGCTTCGCACACAAAAGTATCACAATTTATGCGGTCGTTGATGTCTCCTCGCGATACGGCTGAAACCCGAAAAGCGTAATAGCCACATTGGTGCTTATTAATACAGGTGGGTGATTTAGTTGTACCGTCTATGCGGAATGACTTATGCCATGGATTGAATGATGGCAAATCAAGGCTTATTGGGGGTTGCAGCAGTGCAAGGAGTGCTAGTTTACGTATTAGCAATTTCTCAGTTGCCCTATTTATGAGTTGAGTTGGAGCTAAGGTTGGTCAACTGTAACAACAGTGGTGTGAAGTTGTTCCCTTTACGCCATTTCATACTAGCCGGAAAATGCTAAAATGTGAGTATAAACAAAGAAAGAAAGAGAAGCCTTAGGTATTATCCGATTCCAAAGTAATGAACTATTAGTCGCGATGGCTTTAACCTTCCGAAGAATAAATACGCTCCTTACCATTACAAAGATATGAGATTGAAGCTGATGCAGCAAGTGGCTCGTTGGGGACGCTTCAGTTTCAGCGCTCTTGGCGATCGTCAAGTTATCCATTGCAGCTGCTTCGACCCCGTCAACTTCCAACTTGGAGCCCGACCACAAGTGGAAGCTAAAAAGGAGAACGCTGAACTAGCAACGCCATCCATTATCGTTCACAATATGATTCTTGTACTGGCATCCTAAGTAATTGTTGGTAATGACCATTAGTAAATAGACCAGTCGTAAATAAAGTGGGGCAGCCAATGCGAGAATGTAGAATCACGAGCCCGTGCATCCTTAGGTAAGATTAGGAAAAAATAACATAACTCTAACATTATTTGCACGTGTCCGGTGAGTTCATGTCAAGATTGAAATTTTCAAAAAAGGGAAAACCTTAGTTTCCCGCTGCTACATGCTTAAGGACAAGATTGAGTACAATAGGAATGTGCCGAGGGGCGATGGAAAGAGGACTCGAGCTTGCGTAAATAGAAGTTATCGGCCATCCGGGCAAAAAGTCACAAAACACACGATTCGCATGTGAAAAACTCACGCGGAGTAGGGCAATATCATGTAGAAGGGCTTCTTTCTGCATACGAAATAACGCAATGTGCGAATGCGGTGAATCATCGGCATACCAGAGCAGAAAGTGGCTCACCACACTAGAAGTGTTTTTTCATTAAATTCTCTTCACAACACAAACAATTACGCGAAACAAGCTGGTCATAAGAGTCATCGTTCTCAATGCAAAGAATGTCCTACAGATTGTAATTACTCGGCTGAGCTAGAGGACAAGAACTCACAGACATTTTTTGCTCGCGGAGCAAGTACCATTTAGGCAACACGGTACCCCGAAGGCATTGTTGCCAACTGACCAATCCACGTGCCTTACAGACAAGCCACTCTAATCAGACATCTAAATTTAGTAGCAATTCAAAGAATTTTCATTAAATCAGCAACAAAAGTGTGTGGACGTTTATAAAAGTACGTCACAAACGGATGTTATGCAAGCTCCAAGTGAAAAGTTGAACAGCCAATGATAATGCGAACATCAGGCATGAAAAATAATGCGAGCTCACTACCGAGCTTACGACTGAAACAATAGATCCTAAGATGTCATTCCCGATTTGCGACATTATAAATGCTAACTTATTAAATTAGGTACTTGGGCGCAATGAAGCAGAGAAGGAATTTGTCTACCGCGAACTTGATGTAATCAGCAGACAGTTTGAGAGCTCACCGAGGTAGCTGGAGGTAGCCGGGGCGGAGGGGAAGTAGAGTGAAATCAAGTTTTCGCGATGAGCTTGGAAGGAGGCGGATGGAGGCTAATTGGACACCGCAGAAGGCAAAGCACTCTGTTGATTCCAACATCACATTGAGTTCCTATGCACAAAACCAACCAATATGGCATTCATTCAGCACAAGACTATAATGGAAATAGCCGTGCAAATTACTAGGGTAAAGCATCTTTTTCTAATGACATTTGCTACCCAAAAATCGGACCAAAGAGAACTTAAAATGTGAATATTAAAGCCTTAGAAATACTAAGCGCTTGTTTTAAATGTACTGCGCTTTCTTTTG